CATAAATTTATTAAATAATTGGCTAGTACATTTATAAAGGGTGAATTTTATGGTATGTAAATTACACCTCAGTAAAGCTGTTAAAATGCATACTGGGGGCCAAGTTTTAGCTCAGTGTGGAGCATTTGCCTAGCACGTATGAGGCACTGGGTTCAATCCTCAGCACCATATATAAATAAAAATAATTAAAATAAAGTCCATAAACAACTTAAAAAAAAAGTGACAAGTGATTTTCATTACAGAAAATGATGTTAAGTCCTTTTTCCTTCCTAACATGGACCTCTAAGTATTCTTTTAGGAGAAGCAACTATTCATCTCTCTTAATGATGGTCTTATTTAAAAAAAAAAAATCACAAAGCTTTAAGTAGCACAAAATTCTACTTTTTTTTTTTTTGAGAGTATTGAGGATTAAACCCAGAGCCTTATACATGCTTCACAAGTGTTCTACCACTGAGCTACACCCCAGCCCCAAAAATTATACTTTCAAATAGAAAATTTTTCATCAGAATCCAACCTCCATGTATTAAGAAACAACAATAAGCAAGATATCTCTGCAGACTTCACCTTTATATTTTGTTTTACTGAAGTCATTATAATTACAGAACAGATGCCCACCTGCGCATTGTAATGGCTGCCATTTTACTTCAAGAGTACATCTAAACCACAAAATTGAATTCAAGGACTAACTTCACAGTCTTTATTAGTGTAACAAATTAAATCAAAGACAGACAAAAGTTGTAATGGAACATGCAGAAACATGAAATATCAAATGGTTAATTAGAAACAGTTACCTCATTTGGAGCATAAATGATTACATACAACCTTCATTTATTAAAAAAAAAAAAACAGAACCAATCACTCTGTGTTAGGAAAGTCTGCACTTCTAGTTGTCCTATCCAGCAGTCCTGATAGATCTGAGTCCAGCTTCCCAAGTCACTAAAGGTCAAGTAGTCAATGTAGCTCATCAAATCCAGGAACCATGTTTATACCTTAAGTACCTCCCCAGCAATGATGAACTCAAAACATGCTTGGGCAATCAGATTCCTTAAGAGAAGCAGAACACATGGTTTTAAAGAGCACAGCTTCAAGTCAGACTGGTTTGGAAAGCAATTTTGCCCCTTTTGCTGACTAGCTGGCTAATCTGTGCAAATAGTTTCTGTGAGCCCATTTGACATGTATGTGGAAAATAAGAAAAACACCTACTCATAGAGATTCTTTGAGAACAAACATTCATACATTTATGCAAATAAATAATTTGCCACAGTACCTGATATTGAATAAAACTCAAAAAATATAAGAATTATAGAAGAATCCAAAAGAGACCACACCCAAACTTGACTCTGATTAGAACTATCTCAAACACAAATGTTTCTAAGAGCTTAATTCAAAATGTTGACAATTTCAAAGACCAGAATGGGCCACATCCTTTTAATCTAAAAAAATAATTTTCTGTTAATTTCCAAGTTTGAAATGTTTAAATGTTATCCACCTCTTTACGTAGAAGGCCCTGACCCTCAGCTTTCACATCCACCAATAGAACTGCCCCCAAGTTCATATCTCAGGATGAAGATGAACAAACTTGAATGAGAAATTAGGACAGATCTTGGAGTAATTCCATCATCCGTGCACTGCTCTATATAGACGAAACATTCTGAAAACTCTATAAAATTAAGTTACAAACACTAAAATCATTTATCACCAACAAAAGATTTCTAATCTTGAGCTTAAGATTGAAAGAAGAATGGAAAAGCCCAGAACAGAAAGTTTAAATAAAGAGAATCTTCCCCCATCCCTATGGGGGAACAAATTCAGGGTCATGTGCTCCACCACTGAACTACATCCCCAATCCTAAATGTAGTCTTTTGATCGCATTATTTTCCTAAGATGAAATATGTGATCCAACTGTCACCATCATCAAATGATAAAGAACTTTTGAGATTTTAGCTCTTCTTCTACTAAGAAATTTGATGTTATCAAAACAAAAACTTTAAAATCTAAAATTAATTTTGAATAAACAGGCTTTTCCACTCAGAAAGCAATTGAATACTTCAAATTTTGCTATTTTTGTATCAAAGTTAAGGGTTATATAAAAGACTTCCCTAACATTTTGGATCCAAGCACATGGATTCATTTATTTTTAAATGCCTCGTGTCATTTGACATCAATTCAATGTATGAAAAAGTCATATCTACACACTAACTACCAAAAATTAAGTTCTATATTAGCACACCTTCTAATACCTAGGAGAAATAAAAAGATAACCACCAAAGTTATCAAAATGGAAGGGGGAAGAAAGGCAAAATTTTAACAAGACGTGCTGAAGAAAACTTATTCTCTGCTCACTTCTTTACAAACTTCCTACAGTTTCTCAGATATAGATGAATTTTCTATTACAAAGTAAATTGAAACGTAAATCATAATGAAAGGTTAGCTTTCTGCAAGAGAAGCCACTGTCATTCCCAACAATGCAACTATTGTTGGGTCTCTCATAGATTCTGGGTGACAGTGGTGTTACTGGCCTGAGGGATAAAAAGCTACTTAAAGGAATTTCTCCACCTCTGTATTTTGGTTTGTAATGTAAGACTACTGCACCTTCAAAATAGAAATGCCATGTAAAATCTGGTTCTCATTAAATGAAGTTGCCTTATCGGCATGCAGCATATTTGGAACAGAATACATCTGATTAGTACAAATACAACCTTCTATTACTTATCTCTATGAGATGGCCCTGCAATTTCTTTCAATGGGAACCTTTCCTTTTAAAACCCCAGGGAACACATTAGATGCCACACTCTAATTCAAATAACTCCAATAACATTACAATGAAAACAATGGCAGGTTTAGTTAGGGAATTTTTTTAAAATTAAAAAAATCCAAGGGAGTAAAAAATCCCTACCACAAGCCCCTAAATCATTAATAAATTTTAAGAGTGAGCAAAGGGGGGGGGGGGGAGAGAGGAGGGGAGAAAGTAATGTTCTCTGGAGAAAAAAAAAAAGCTTTTTATAATTTTTTTAATATATCAAATTTTGTTTTTTAAAGGAATTAGGCTTAGGAAATATGTTAAATAAACAAAAGTATGACACTACGCTGTTTTTATATATACATATATGTCAAATTAACCGTTGCATTGATTATGTTAAAAAAGGATTTGATACCCTTTATACTTAAGGACGCCCCTCTCCAACTACTCTGAAATGGCAGATTATTTAACACTCTTGAAATGGTTAACTTTATTTAGTACGTCTCTTTTGGAGTTCCATTATTTAATACAGCCAACCAGAATCTCCCCCCCCCCCCCCAATTAGGTTTCCTTGTACTTGTGAAATGCTCAGCATACACAGTGCTGGCAGCTTTAGTTCTACAGCTTCTCTCTTTTGGCTCCTTCCCCCTTCACCCCCCCCCCCCCAAAAAAAATTAAAAAAAAAAAAAGATTTCCTTCCCAAATGTTCTGTTCTCTGCATTTGTCAACAGAAACACCCACTGGTGGTGTCAAACTGGTAATACTGCTGCAGGCTTCCTTACTCCGGTTCCAGTGTCAATGCCAAAAATGCTCAAACCCAAAATAGTACTTTTAATAAAGAAATTAAAAGCTAGATGCTTAAATATCATATTCTCGAAAAGAGGCACACCTTTTAAAAATGTATTACTAAGGAACCCAAATCCGGTTGTTAAATAGATTATACTATCCCCATCCAACACTAAAGACGAAGGGACAAGTAAATATAGCCTCTAAACATTTTATGAATATTTGAAAACACTTAAAGGAATTAAAAACAATTTACATCTAAATGTTATTCATGTGTAATTCCGAATAGTCCCAGTAAAGATGTCTTTTTTGATACCCTACAGCAAGAAAGGAATAAGCTGGAAACGTTCCAGCAGATGTTACCTAAAATGAGAATCCTATGTTCTATACATATTTATGTCTCTTGTTTCAGTCAAATGCTCTCAAATTAATTTGTGTAAATCTTTTACATTAACTACATAACCAATACATTCAAACAAACCTAATTCAGATGCACGAAAAGAAATTATTCTGTGTCAACAATACTTTCTAAAATCAGCTTAAATTTCAGCCAAATTAAAATAGATTGTTAACAGAATTCTGATCTGTAACTACTTAAATATCGCAGCATCCGTCTAATCTCTCTATAGAGACACTAAGGTCAGGCTTTTCTTATTCAGGCATCTGTGCTCTAACACCCAAGTGAAGCGAAAAACAAAACCCTCAAGGAAGATCTGCCTTTACACTGAAATATGTTCAGGTTATTTTTTACCCCAACGTGGGCACAGAACGTTGTCAATGCGAGAAGGACCTGTTCGTTCGGAGAGACGGTTCCAAACCCCAGGATTCAGTTTCTATGAGGGTCCAAAGGGTATGAAGGTCTGAGAAAGGGCCAATTAGTGCTTTTTCCCCATCAGGCCAGTCATGAACTTCATAGCAACGCCTGAAACTTGTTCGGGGAAGGTTGCGTGAGCCGCAGGTCTGACAGCAGGTCAGTCGCCCACCCTCGCGGGCAACCAAGGTCAGAAGGGCCGGGGCCGCAACTCGCAGCCCCCGGCGGGTCCCGGGCTCCATCGGAACTTGGGTGAGGGACTCTAGCTCTCAGGCCCCAGCTCAGCGCCGACAGAAAGGGGCTTCCCACGACGCAAGCCCCGGGGAGCTCGCGCCGCGGGGGCGGCGGGGCGGGGACGCTGCAGACCCGCAGTCGACGGGAGTCCCGCGGGGCGGCCTCGACCCGCCGCCCCTCTTTCACACCTCCCCATACCTCAAATGCAGACCAAGCCCCTCCGGGAAAGCCCTTCCAGAAGCTTGAGGAGAAGCCACTCCAGGTTGGGACACCCTCGCCGCGTCGCCCCATTCTAGAGGGACTGGTGCCGCCGCCCCTTCTCTTGCCTGCCCGAGGGGACCGGGTGGGTCCCTTCTCAAGAAAGAAGCTGGGTGGACACAGAGTCAGTGGTATTGTAAGAAGAACTAACGGGCGGGCGCGATTACTCACCCCGCTGAGTCCCCACCTCCAGCCGGGGACCCCACTGCTCCAGAAGCCGCCGTCGACGCTTTACCTTCCCCAGCGGCAGGGACAACTAATCGAAACCTCCGGCCCCGCCCTCTCGCAGAAGAGAACGCGCAGCCTAATTTGCTAACTACCCCGCCCCGGCCTGCCCACTCGGACCTATAGAGAAGCTCCTCATGTCCCGCCTGGTCCCGCCTGGTCCCGCCTCATCCACGCCCACTTCTGGTAGAAGCCAATGCGGAGAGAACGCTCGTCCTCGAGCTCGGGCTCGTGCGCCCCTCCCGCGCTGCTCGTTCTCGAACCCCCAAAGTCCAAGAAAGCTGGTTCCTTGTACTAGCCGGCCTGCGCGCGCACGCGCGCGTCGCGCCTCCTCGCACACCAGGTTTGGTTGCCCCGCCAGGCCCTAGCAACCTGGGCTGGGAGGCTGGGAGGGGCGGGGCCCGAGCTGCGAGCTGTCGCGGGGGGAGGGGCGGGGGGGAGATCGTGACTGAGAAAGGGGAGGCTGCGGGGGGGGGGGGGGGGGGGCGAGGAGGCCCCGGAATCCGCTTGTCACTGCGGAAAAAAAAGGGGGAATCCTGCCTTCAGCGCAGCTATCCTGGCTTGCCTCCCAAGGGACCCGATCAGCGTGGGGAGGGGGAAGAGACCGAGAAGAGGGGATGAGCACATTTAGAGCGAGAGCCTTAGCACTGCTTTGGAAATAAAGGATGGAAAATGATTTATCTCTGTCGTTGGTTAAAATATCGAAGTATATTGCTGCTGCTGCCTGTTGCAGCTGATCTCTCTCTCTCTCTCTCTCTCTCTCTCTCTCTCTCTCTCTCTCTC